TATTCTATTCTATTCTATTCTATTCTATTCTATTCTATTCTATTCTATTTTCTACTCTGGTCTCCTCTATTTCTATTTCTACTCAGTACGGAAACCAATCTAGGAGAGAAGCAACTTAGAACTAAGGAGAAATTTCCTGACAGTTAGAAAAATTAATCAGTGGAACAACTTGACTCCAGAAATTTTGAATGCTCCAACACTGGTAGTTTTTAAGTTGTTGGATGACGATTTGTCTGAAATGGTATAGGGTTTCCTGCCTAAGCAGGGGGTCGGACTAGAAGACCTCCCAGGTCCCTTCCAACTCTGCTATTCTATTCTATACTATTCCTACTCTACTCTATTTCTACTGCACTCTACCCTATTTATTTCTATTTCTATTATTTCTATTTCTACTCTATTCAACTCTATTTCTATTTCTACTCTACTCTATTTCTACTCTACTCTACTCAACTCAACTTATTTCTATTTCTACTTTACTCTACTCTACTCAACTCTATTTCTATTTCTACTCTACTCTATTTCTACTCTACTCAACTCAACTCTACATATTTCTATTCCTACTTTACTGTACTCTATTTACTCTATTCCTATTTCTACTGTACTCGACTCGGCTCTCCTGTATTCCTTATCCAGGCGGCGCCCCTGGGCGCCGGGTTGAAGGGCCTACAAAGGAGATTTCCCAGCATTACCAGGAGGGGCGGGGCCCACACGGAGCCCCGCCTTTTCCGGAGGAGGGTGAGTCGGCAGAGGGCGGTAAGTGGGGGTGGGTGGGGGGGGGGGGAGGACGCCGCCCTTTGCTAAGTGAGCGGCCGGGAGCCAGGAGGGCGTCGCGAGGCAATGGAGGCGCAGGGCTTCTCCCCGGAGCGGCTGGCGCGCCAGCTGGCCAAAGCCGAGGCTCTGCTGGTGGCGCACGTGTCCCCGCAGGTCCAGGCCCGCTGGCGCTGGGCGGTGAAGCTGGACGGGCCGCCGGACCTGGAGCGCTTCTGCACGCAGCTCAGGGAGGCCCGCCGCGGCCGGGAGGCTCTGCTAGACAGGGACGCGTCGCTATCGGAGCCCGAGCAGGAGCGGCTGCAAGGGTTGCTGCGGTTGGAGATGGCGCTCCTGCGCGCCATCCAGACCCTGGTCGAAGGTAGAACCCTGGCCGCGGACCCGGCCCCGCGGACCTCGAGGCGGAGGCAAGGGTGGAAGCCCCGCGTGTCCTCGCTCCGGGCGGCTCTGCTGGGGCTGGCGGCCGAGCTGGACGTAGCCAAGCGGCAGAGCCTGCCCTGGGACGCCGCGTTGGCTCTGCAGCTGGCCCTGGAGGCGCTGCTGGAGAAGAGACCCGGCGAGGCGATCCGGGCGCTGGAGCCGCTGTTGCTGCGGGAAGGAGGGCGCGGCCGGCCGAAGCGGCTGCTAGCTTTGCTCCAGGTTCTGCAGGAGGAAGGCTGGGCCGAGCGCGGGGCCGAGCTGCCTCTGCGGGAGCTGCGGCCGCTGCTGGAGAAGGCGCTGCGCCTGGTGCGCAAGGAGCTGCGGAGCTGGCGGTCGGCGGAGCTGGTGAACGCCGAGTGGGCAGGGTCCCCGGAGATGGTGGTAGTGAAGGAGGAGGAAGTGACTCCCGGTGGGACGACCCTGCCCAAAGTCCCAGGACCTCTGGAAATGGTGGTAGTGAAGGAGGAAGAGGAGGAGGAAGAAGTAACCGCGGATGGGGCCAGCCCCAAAGCCCAAGGATCGTTGGAGATGGTGGTAGTGAAGGAGGAGGAGGAAGAAGAAGAAGGAGATACTCTGAATGGGACTGTCCCAAAAGTCCCCCTGACCGAGGTAGGACTAGAACACAGGGCCCCCCAAGAAGTGTCTGCGGAGACCTTCCCCAAAGACCGCTCCCAGGAGCATCTTAGGCCAAGGAAGATGCCGACCACAGACTGCAGGTCTCCCTTTGCAAAGGAGACAGGTGGGCGCCTGCAGACAGAGATGGACACCTCCGGTTTGAAGGACATCGTCACATGGAGGAAGAAGGACGTTGCAACGGGCGCCGACCAGGAGCTTCTGGAGTCGGAAAAGACGGTTGCCCCCAACTTCAGGTCTGTCCAAAGGAGACTCTACCCAAAGGAGGCGGCCTCCGGACAGCAGGCAGAGACGGACATCCGCTTGAAGAAAGGTGCCCCGTGGAAGAAAATGGAGGAGCTTCGGCGTGTCCTGCGGGTCGTCACCCGGAGGAAGATGAGGGCTCTGTCCTCCTCCTTGTGGAGACAAGGCCCTCGGAAGATGTGCAGCCGTCTCCACCAGCTTTGCCGCCAATGGCTAAAGCCGGAAATGAACACGAAGGTGCAGATGCAGGACCTGGTGATCCTGGACCAGTTCTTGTCCTTCTTGCCCCCTGAGATGGAGAGCTGGATCCGGGAGTGTGGAGCCGAGACCAGCTGCCAGGCAGTGGCCTTGGCCGAAGGATTTCTCCTGAGCCAGGCGGAGGAGGAGAAGGAGCAGGGAGAGGCTCAGGTGAGACACTTACCCTTGGTAAACTTAAAAATAGGGTGTCAAAGAATAATCATGTGTTGGGATTCTTACAGGGGGCGACACGGCAGCGAAGTGGTGAAGATGCTGAGCTTGTCGATCAGAAAGGTTTTTTCAAAAAAAAACAACAACCCCAAATCCATCTTTCAGTTACACAGTGTGTCGACTGGGTACATACATCTTGTGCAACTATTGATATTTGTATACATTTTTGCTAAGTGTACATTCATATTACAACCTGTTCATTATTATATATCATAACAATATCATTTGATTTCTTACTTTATTTTTCAACCATTTATAAAATAAATTCCAAATCCTATAATATTCCATTTCTTCTTGGATACTGCTAAGGTCATAACTGTGAAAAATAGCAATCGCACCGCTTCACGGTGCTTGTACATCCCTCTCTAAGTGGTTTACAGAGTCAGCCTATTGCCCCCAACAATCTAGGTCCTCATTTTACTGACTGGAAGGATGGAAAGTCTGAGTCTGGTGAGATTCAAACTGCCAAATTGCAGGCAGCAGAAGTAGCCTGCAGTGCTGCACTCTGACCGCTGCGCCACCGTGGCTCGTTTATGGTCAGAAGTTACTTTATTCAGTGTTGTAACTTTGAATGGTCACTAAATGAGTGGTTGTAAGTTGAGGATTACCTGTAGCATTAGGAAGATACTAAGGAAAGGAGACGTTCAAGGCCAGTTGTTCCAATGAGCATCTGCTTCCTTTTTGTAGGTTCCATTATTTGTATTTCTTTGCTTTTTCAGGGCTTTCCGTTCCAGAGGGCTGACTTGAAGTCCGTTACTGAGAATCTGCAGGAAAGGAGGGATCCACCAGAGTCTTCCCGGGATCTGCTCTTCAGGGAGATCTTCCATGAAGATCAAAGTCAGGCCACCTCCACCAGTAAGAGAAGTTTCCTCAGAAAGAGACATTTCCTCCCCCCGCTCATTCTCTGGGCCCTCTTTTGAGTAATGCTTACAAATAACGTAATTACTACGTTTCTGAAAAATGTATCTCACTTTTATCTTGCAGGAGATCCGGCACTGATAGATTCTTCTCCTTTCTCTGCTGGAGATGAAAAAGCAGTTGAACATCCAACTCAGGTAGGAGCCAAAATGTCATGGATGATAGATCAGTTGGAGTATATTTTCATATACTCAATGTAAGGTAGAGAATGTATGAATTTACATATGGTAGAGAATCTACAAATTGGTGTATCTATGAATCTAGAATCTATGAATCTACATGTGGTGGAGAATCTATATCTCTATACCATCTGGGTACAATCTCTACATTCTCTATTGAATACCGATAATGTCTTATACACACAATAGTTATAACTATTCTCAATATCTCTTCATCTTCACTTATCCTTGTTACGAATTTTACATTGATTAGACCCTCTGTTCAATTTTATTTGTAATCCATTAATAATATCAAACATCTATAAACTTCAAGTAGACAGCACAATTATAGCCAATTAACCACCAAATAATCTTAAGCTTTGCTTATTCGGTGTTCATTATTCCATTAGACATCTATGTTTACATATCCAGATTTCTAACTTCTACTATTTTCTACCCACTAATAGAATAATTCCCAAATCAAAAAGGTGATCTTCTCCCCATTTCTAATTTCTATCTTTATACTAATTGTGACGGTATAGCTCCTTTGTTAAACTGTTGTTTGGACAAGGAGCCGAAATTCGTCTGTCATCCGAATGTTGATAGCACTTCACAAATTAAAATCTTTTTCATGGGTTCACTCACTTTGTAAAGTTGTTAAGAAGGAGTGGGCAGGTTCAATCCCTCAGGAGATTTTGCGGTGTATCAACTAAAACATTAAAGATAATCACACCAGCATGTTGTCCTGTATCTGTCAAGTAGAATGAAAACCAGCGATGGGACTACTCGTAATTTTTTTTGTGAAAAGCAAACGTACAAGCACACATTAGGTGAAAGCTGGCTCAAAAACAGTAACTGTGAGAGGGACCTCGGAGTCTTGATGGATGATCACTTAAACATGAGTCAGCAGTGTGCGGCGGCAGCCAAAATAGAATAGAATAAAATAGAATACCTTTATTGTCATTGCATTCTACAAATACAATGAAATTTGAAAGCTACTCCAGCACAGTGTCCCAAACACCACATCACAATCACACTACACTAAAAATTAAAATAATTAAAATAATAATTGAAAACCTAGTCTTAAAACCTAGTCTAAAACATATAGTAAGTTAGATAGTTTAAAAATGCCACTATATACATAGGACTAAATCACATATGCATTTTTTGATTCAAGACAATTATTGCCCTGGAAAAGAAACTGTTTCTTAAGTCTATTAGTCCTCATTTTAAGACACCCATAACGCCTCCCTGATGGTAACATAAACTAGTTATATAAAGAAAGGCATAGAATCAAAATCACATGAAGCATTAGTACCACTTCATGCTTTGGAAAATAAGTTGACCCTCTCTTCTTGGTGGCAATCCCTCAAATATTGGAGTGTTGCTATTATGTCCCCCCAATCCTTCTTTTCTGTAGAGCAGGGGTCCCCAACCACCGGTCCGTGGATCATTTGATACCGGGCCGCAAAGAAAATAAAAATAAAATAAAAATGGCGGCTTTCTTCGCCTTTGGTGAATGCTGCTGGGATCAGGGATCAAGGACACAAATGAAAGAAGGGGAGGGAGGAAGCAACCAAAGCCCGTCCTGCTCAGCGGCTTCGGTTTCCTCCCGCCTCGTTCCTCTCTCAATCGCTCTCTCGCTCCTCCACCAGCCCACGAAGAAACTGCTTCAAAGAAGCCGGCAGGGTGGCTTTTCCTGTCAGCGCAGCTCCTCCAGTTCACCCCCACCCTGCCACCCGTGGTTCAATCCAGTGCTCCGTTCTGCCTGCCTGCCTGCCTTCGTTTCTGGTTCTTTTGGAGTAGCTTTGGCTGAGAATAATAACTATTCGCCTCTTTTACTCAGCCGAAGCTGCTCCGAAACAACCAGAAACGAAGGCAGGCAGGCAGGCAGGCAGGCAGAACGGAGCACTAGATTGAACCGCGGGCGGCGGGGTGGGGGTGAACAGGCGCTTTGGAGGAGCTGCGCCGACAGGAAAAGCCACCCTGCCGGCTTCTTTGAAGCAGTTTCTTCCTGGGCTGGTGGAGGAGAGAGAGAGCGACAGAGAGGAACGAGGCAGACACCTGAGGGATGAGGCTGAGGGAGGAAGGGAGACCCCTGAGGGATGAGGCTGAGGGAGGGAGGGAGACCCCTG